ATTCAGCGCATGAGTGACACTTTTTTTCATCGCAGATGCAACATGTCTCAGTCAGTACAGCTAGCTTTGCTAGCATCACGTCCACAGATCTTACCTTTCTTTAAGCTTTCCTTCCAAGTGACGCTAAAAGTTGGATAAAGTCCCCACCGTCTGTGAAAGCGAAGCGCTGCTGGTTTTACATGTCGCCATATCTATGATTTATGCAGCTATTATATTACTGACGCTCCGAGCGTGCGCTCAGAGGAAACTGACCTGCGCATGTCTTGGACCTCGAGTAAAGGTGGAGGCGATGGGTGACACAGACACGTAAGTCACGTTACACGTTATGCTTGGATTTTACGGCGCCACCTTAAGACCCTGAACTTCACATTTTAACGGAAAAAAACCCACAACGCGACTTGGATGTAACGAGTAACGCGACAGTTTTGTAGAAATGTAGTGAAGTAGAAAGTACAGATACTTACTGTAAAATGTAGTGAAGTAAAAGTAGAAAGTACCCATTATTAAATCTACTTAAGTAAAGTACAGATACATGAAAATTGTACTTAAGTACAGTAACGAAGTTCTTGTACTTTGTTACTTTCCACCATTGGACTTAAAACACATGAAAAATGAATGCAAATAACAGTTACATTAATGATCAGTTATTGGGGTGATTAATCCAATAAAAAATTGGTACATTCTGTAGATTTTTCACTGAAACGTTTTCATACAATATTAGAAACACATTAAAAGATGCAAATAAACAATTCAATCCTTTTTTAAATATGAAGACAAACATTTTATTGTCTAAAATGCAGCCGCACATCATTCCTGTAGTGGAACATCAATACAATGTAGGGCTGATCTGTTTTTTTTGTTTGTTTGTTTTTTAAATACTAATTAATAATTTGATACGGACAACAGATTTTTTTTGTTAAATGTAAAATGTACATATTTTTTTACAGCTTTGACTTAATTACTGCTTTGAGTGTTATTCTGTCAGCAAATAACTTTTCTTGCTCCTATGCTCCAGTTAACAATTAATTAATTTCTAATTTACTTGATGATAATTTCAATAATCGATTAATCTGATTAATCGTTTGATTAAGGCTTCATTTCTCGTGCTGTGCAGGTACAGCTACATGATTGATAACGTGATCCTGCTGATCACCGGCACGCTGCACCAGAGGGCCATCTCTGAGCTCGTCCCAAAGTGCCACCCGCTGGGCAGCTTCGAGCAGATGGAGGCGGTCAACATCGCTCAGACCCCCGCCGAGCTCTACAACGCCATCCTGGTGGACACGCCGCTGGGTAGGAGAGGCGCCGGTAGCCCTGACTGGAGGCAGGAACGCAGACCAGTCTCATGTTGATGGATGTTGTTGTGTTTTTGTCCAGCTGCTTTTTTCCAGGACTGTATATCTGAGCAGGATTTGGATGAAATGAACATTGAAATCATCCGTAACACACTCTACAAGGTAAATCCTCTAGTTACTCTGATGCTTTATTTATCGTGCACTGAAAACTTTAGCTGTGTGAATAGACAAAATATAATTCCTGTGTTTATTTCTGTAGTTCCTAAAAGATGTTTGTCTGTTTTCAGGCTTATCTGGAGGCTTTCTATAAGTTCTGCTCTAACCTGGGAGGAACGACTGCAGACACCATGTGTCCGATTCTGGAGGTCAGCGTTTACTTTACAGAATAATCCAGCATCCAGATGTTTGTAGTTTTTCCACCAGTAATAGGAAGTAAAGAGTGTTTGGTTTAACTTTTGTTTTTTGTTCCCGTTTCTGCTGCAGTTTGAGGCTGACAGACGAGCTTTCATCATCACCATCAACTCCTTCGGCACAGAGCTGTCCAAAGAGGACCGAGCCAAGCTCTTCCCGCACTGCGGCAAGCTTTACCCAGAAGGCCTGGCGCAGCTGGCCAGAGCCGACGACTACGAGCAGGTCAAGGCGGTGGCTGATTATTATCCTGTGAGTCCAGAAACCTTCAGTATGTCGTCACCTGTTGGTTAAATTCACAGCGAGTTTCACACTGTGGGTCTTTTTTCCTTATTGAAGCAAAATCAGCTCTGGTTTTCTAGTTAAAGCTCAAAGTCTGACTGGTGAGGTAGGCAGAGTGCTCAGAAATGGTAGCACTGTTTTAACCTGTTTTCACTGAAGTGAAAGTAAAAAGTGGCCGTCTAAGAAATGACTCAATTAAGAGTAAAAAAAATATTTGGTAAAAAGTTTACTCAAGTACCGAGTAACTGATCAAACTATCAATCATATAATATTTAGAAATTATATCATCAGACGGACCAAAATGTAAAGTTAACTAGGAATTTTGGTATTAAAGGACCAAAATGACAATAATTCATAAAATTAACAAAATCAGGCAAAATAGTTTTTTTGTTTTTTTTTTCCAAATCAGTTTCTTTCAATAAAATGTTTTTGAAACTTTAACAGAAACTGCAGGTGTGTGTCTGCCTGGTCAATGTTTGGATAAAACATGTTGGGTAGAAAATCCAGAAATGTTACTCAAGTTAGAGTAGAAATACTTAATAATTAAGTATTTAATTATTAAATACAGCGTAGTAAAAATACTCCTAAAAGTACATTTCCTCAAAGAAGTTACTCAAGGAAATGTACTTGAGTAAATGTAACTAGTTACTACCCAACTGTTTTTTTTTTCTTGAAAAATAAATAACCTAAGAAAGAATAAGATCTGAATATATTCAGTTCATTTAAATCATTACAAAAAATAATTGTTAATAAATAGATTACAGAGTAGTTCCACCAGGGGGCGCTGCCTCACTCCATACGCGTTTCCTCCACATTTAAGTTTTTAAAATGTTTCTTTTTTTTCATACGTCTAAAGCAGAACATGTTTATTTCATTTTCTCCTCAGTGTTTTCCCACATTGCTGCTTTGCTTTTCATCCGTTGATCATCAGAATATCCCAGTAAGAACAGCTCAGATTTCCGTCTGACTGTTTCTGATTTTTCCTCTTTCCAGGAATACAAGCTGCTGTTTGAAGGCGCTGGGAGCAACCCAGGAGATAAAACCCTGGAGGACCGCTTCTTTGAGCATGAGGTGAGTCACTTTTTCTGACACATTATTCCTGCGTTAACAGGCGCTGGCTCAGTCCGAGAACCTCTGCTCGGTCCGAGTCACAGTCATGGGACACATTTCACCAGGAGGAGGCCGTTAAAGGCAGCAGGACAGCAGGAAGCTCGTAAACACGCCGCGACATGCAGCTCTTAGTCAACTAAATAATCTGCCAATATTCATAAATCTGAATCCAGAATGATAGGAATTAAATTTATAATGTATATTTACCACTAGATTTTTATCTAAGTGGTAATAAATAAAATTACTATTAATTACAGAAATGTGTTTCTGTTTCTTTTTGTTGCTTAAACACCAGGAACAGTCACATTTTCCAGTGAATAATTAGTGATTATATAGTGAATCCTAATGGTGGAAAAAGGTCGTATTATTTAGAGCGGTTACTATTTAACTCAATATTTTGTTGCTTCACTTCTGAGAACAACATTATTTTTCTGTTTCTTGGCTTCACTTCATGTGACATCATAATTTATGCAGCTCTGTGTCAATAAACACTTTAATAAGAGTGATGGCTGCTGCACCGTCTGGTTTCTGAGGTCGGACACATTTTAAGATGAAAATATCTTTGTTGTAATTGAGAAAAAAACATATCCTTCTTTCAGCCAGCTGAGCAGCAGTGCACACGACAATTTTCTAATAAAACAGAAGAAAACTCGAGTTACTCGAGTTTTTTGTGAGAATTTATTAAAAGGATTTCAAATCTTAAACATTAAATTAATTTTAGTGGTTTTGGTGCCGGTTTAGGTTTTTCCAACTGCATTTGAACGTTTCACACTGATAACTGGCTCAAACAACTTTGACTCGTTTAGTTTAGTCTAGTCAAATCCTGAAGACCTGGATCGTCTCAGCATCTGGTTCTGATGGTTTGTGTTTCCAGTGTTTTTGTTTTGAAGATGTAAAATATTTACAGACTTGAATACAATCACAGCTCTGAGCCATTTGTTCTGCTGTCGCTGAGACACTGAGCAGCGAGGCTTTAGGACCAAATGTTTACGGGCTTTGGTCCAGGTAGTCCTTTACTGTGTTCAAAACAAAAACCAAAATGCATCAAAATGCCTTCTGGTGAAACAGAGACTCTGTTTCTCTTCATTCTGGACAAAACAGTGAAAAATGGTCCAGGCCTCCAGTGTTTACCTGGATTCAGAGGAAATGCTCCAATATCTGCATTTATTATTATTCTCACAAACTGCGATTGACACGGCTTTTGATTCCTCATGTGTTGCAAAGTAAAGAAAATAAAAATCTGAAAAATAATTGTAAGCAAATTTGTTATAAAATCTGATTTTTGATGTAAAACAGAGGAAAACTTTTTTATTTTCGTGTCAAAATTCAGAATAAACCATAAAACTAGGCATTCTGCAGAGCGGGAAATTTCAGAGTGTCCAGAATAATCAGCATATTATTACAGAGACATTATGATCCATGGTAATTATGGTTCCAGCTGTGTGTGGTTTTTCTTTTCTCTTTTATTTGTTGCTTTTAGTTTTATTTTGAGTTTAAATGAAAGAAAAATGTAAATTTTTATTCATCTTTCAGACTGTAAACCTTTATTATTATTATACCATTATTATTTTGCTTTAAAATAGTCTCAAAACGGCAAAAACATCTGGGACAGTTTATCGTCCAGCAGTATAGTATAGTATACTGTTGCAGTATAATACATGTCTGTTGTTTTTTACAGGAGGTTTTCATTTCCTTGCTGTTTGTTTCGTGCAGGTGAAGCTGAACAAGCTGGCCTTCCTCAACCAGTTCCACTTCAGCGTCTTCTACGCCTACGTCAAGCTGAAGGAGCAGGAGTGCAGGAACATCGTGTGGATCGCAGAGTGCATCGCCCAGCGGCACCGCGCCAAAATCGACAACTACATCCCAATATTCTGAGCACTCAGCTGCACTCCCTCCCCTCATTTCACCTGGTCGCAGTGTAAAACCTGGATCCAGAATTGGCTCCAATTCGTTCGTCTAGATGTAGGTTGGTTTTCTACATGGTGCATTTTCTGCTCTGCACTGAAAAACAACATTTTACCAAGTAATTTAGTCGAGTTTCTAGTGCAACTACCTTAGTTCACTTTAGATTAGACAAAACTAACTTACAAGTAACTTTTTAGCAAGAGATAGAAACTTGTTTTAAGTAAATAATTCCTTAATATCAATGAAAACATTTTAGTTCCACTGACAGATAAATTAACTTTTAAGATATGAAAAATGTTTTGTTTTCAGTGAAATTATTAATCTGCCAATGGAACAGTATTTATTTCATCAATATTGAAGAATATTGACTTTAAACAAGTCTCTACATCTTGTTATAAGTTCCTTGTCAGTTAGTTTAGTCTTATTTTCTGTGTAATAAGACATTTGCTCCAGATACTGGGTTAAATTGCTTGGTGAGGTTTAGTGTTTTTCAGTATGAAGGAATCAGCCGAGGCGTTTTGTTCCTGTTTTGAACCCATTTGACTTTCAAACACGTGTGTGATTGTCTAAACTTTTCCGAGCTCGTTGTCCTCCCAGTCCTTCAGCCGCTTAAATAAACTCCAGACCAGATTTGCAATTTCTTAAACCAGGATCTAGTCGGCACGCCTCAGCTTTTGATTTTTCTCCCTCCAGCTCAGATAATCACAGGATGTGATTCTCACCTCCCCTCATATGACGACGTATAAAATAAAAACCCAGAAATCTGAGTTCCAGCTCCAGACATTCCTCTGCTCTGTCCGAACGTCAGAGCTCGTATTTATTTCTGTTCTGGTGTTTGTCTGCACGTCGTTTGTCTTTTCCCAACAAAATGACGAGTAAAACGAATGAATCTGATTATTTCTGTTAAATATTAAAAAGCTGAGCTGTCACGTTCCTGTACATGAACAAAGTGAATGCTTGTGGTTAAATGGAAAACGTTTAAACTATAAAGGATAAATAGATATTTAAAGATGATTATATGATTTTGTGTTCTCATGCTGTATAAAATTTGATTTCTTAATGTTTGTATCTGTTGTTGTGAAATGTGTATTATTAATGTGACAGTAATAAACAGTCTGAAGAAACGGATCTTTTTCATTCATTCACATTACAAATTAAAAATGAAAATATATTCCAGCAAAATATTTTCAATAACATTTGTTCTGTATTTTACTGTCCAAAGAGTAACAACTCTGATTGTCTTAATATTTTCCTAAATGTGTAAAGCACCAAAAGTTGATTGTTAAAATTTCAGATTATTTTTACTAACAAGCAAATTTCTGACTTTTCAAACTCCACAAACTTTCTTTTCTTTATTCCTGGGAAATTTCTCAGTTTAATCTCATAATTTTAGGGTTTTTTCCCAAAAAATCTTTTACTTTTCAAGTTTAGAAATCTTCACGTCTTTTCTAGAAATTGCAAATTTCCAAATTTTGGAGCTCAGAAATATTTTTTGTGTGAAATTGTTTTTTGTGTGGAATTGACTCCTTTTTTCTGTCTGCTATGGTTCTAATAGGCGTCGGAGGATAAAAAGTTGCTAAAGTCCAAAGCAAAACTTAGAGTCTGTAAATCTGGAGATGTATCTTGGAGGTTTAACTTGAAGAAATAATAATTTTATGATTTACACTGATAAGAATGTGGTAAATGTTGGACTGTTGTGCTGTTTGATACTTTACGTGACCCAACTCAGTTTATCCCTGAAGAATTTTAAACCATGTTTAGGAAAAATCTCTGGAAATTGTTCGTTCAGACCACAAAACTTAGACAAGATGATTTGGTCTTTGAACTCAAGGAATTTTCTTCTAATGTGTCAATAAATTCTTTCAAAGAAACAAACAGAACGATCCTGTTTAAGTAAAGCTGTTAAATTCTCCTCTGGTGGATTTTCAACGGAAAAATAAAGTTTTATTTGACTTTTGCTACAACTAAACCACACAAACCAGCTTTTCACTCCAACTAGATCACAAATTAAATGATCGTTATAAAAAACAGCCATCCTCAGGGTGAAGCGTGGGTTCTGGACCGGCTGCTCTCTGTTAGACCTGATTGGGTCCAATTAGACGGTTCTGCTCCAGCTGCTGAATCAACAGCCTGCTGGCCTCACTTTCCTCCTCTTCATCAGGGAGGAAGAACGTCTGAAGCGGGTCCAAGCATGACGTTCCAGCTGAAAACCAGAGGCCGGTTCTGTGGCCTGCACTGCTCTGTGGGTCTGACCGACTGGGACATGGACAAAGAGCTCAACCTGACAACAACCACCGACCAAAACTGTAACGGTGAACATTTTCATTATTGTTTTAATGAACTGCAGCTGCCGTGTAACCACTGGCTGGAAACGGTGCAGATGAATATTTGTTTATGCAACACAGAGGAATTCAGTGAGAATTTGGAGGCTGGTTTGTCTCGTTGTGTAAAATGTAATTTATTCATATGTGTGTCAGTGAGGTTTGTCTGCTCTGGCAGAAGATAAAGTGAATGATCAACATGTGGCCCAGAGACCCTCGGTAAGAGCCTGCAGAAGAAAGGATGAGTTCATTTGGTACGATAAGACGTCGGGTGAGTTCACACAGAGGAACTTTATCCAGCTGTCCGTTATGAATATGAGGTCAAATAAGATCAGAAAATGAATGTTGGTTTCAGCTTCTGCTCCACCAGCTATAAAAATGAATGTTTTTTGTTTCCCACTTTGCCTCTGATGAAAGTTGCAGATTTTTGTGCCATGCGTTCTTCTTTTCTCTCCATCAGACACATTTGTGAAGCCAAACCTGTGGCTGCTGGTGAATCCCAACATCGCCTGTCCGGTCCAGTATGTGCAGACGGACGCTGAGCTCCAGCCTGACCCGGGTCATGCTAACCAGCTGCTGCAGCTGGAGCCTGGGGTCATGGAGGGTCCGTCCACATCCGATCCGCTGACATGTCCCCATCAGGAGGAACTGCTGCTTCCTGCTTCCTCCACAGCCAAACGCATGGTAACAAACTCGCATTACTCTGAGAGGATCACATAAAAATACAAGGTTAAAGCACCGCTTGTGGTTTTATTAAACGCATGCATGAATTAGGGGTTTAGTTTTGTAGAAAATGGGGGGGGGGGGGTTATCTAAAAGATGCATAAAGAATTGAAGATTACCCATTTAAGTCCTGCACTGCAAAAAAACACAATCTTACCAAGTACTTTTGCTCTACTTCCAAAATAAAAGCCTGGATCACCCAGGAATCGACTTCAGATGAAAGTTTAAGTTCTTCTATTTCACGTCTTGGTGCCTCATTCTCTTCTTTCCTCCTCTTTGTTGGCCACTTCAATCATCCTTTCTCCAACAGTCCAACCGTTTTCACGTTCTCTATAAACTGACTTTGATTATTTATAGATATCTGTCACAAATAACATGCAATGCTGATGGCTGACCTGTTTATCATTTATCAAATGTTTATCATTTATCAAATGTTTATCATTTTCCTGTCCTTCCTTCATGATGGGATTTAATCCAATGTGGGATTTGCATTTTCAGAAAAATCCATCTTTAATTTATACTTGCACATTTTTGTTTTTTTAGGAGCATCACAGTCAAATTTCTTAGGGAATCTGCACAATTAACACTTTTTTGTGTGGTAAAGATGGAGCATCAGCTTGTTGCCTTTTTCTGTATCTTCTGAAAAAAACATTAATTTCAGCCTGCAAAGAAAAACAAGGTATAAGAAGAACTGTGCAAATTATAGCTCTGCATTAAAATGATGCATGAACCAAATCTAGCAGCAGAACTCAAAAGTTTTCCTGGCAAGTGTGAAATATTTGAACAAACCTGCAGCTGTCTGCTTTAAATTTTGATGGCTGTTCCCACATTGATGGAGCTTTATGAGCTTTTATTCCTACCCGATTGGAGCAGAAAATCAAATCCATTTTCAGCTTCAAGCAGCATTTTCTCATGAATAAAATTTAAGTGGAACAGTATGTTAGAGTTTATGCAACTGAAATGTTTTGACTGACAAAATAAATTATTCCACTAAGACGGACCAATTCAGACTAAAGTGTCATTAAGAAGCTAGTTTTTAATAAAAGCAGAGACTTGCACAGCAACACCGTCTTTATTCTGCTCCATTTATTGCTGTAAAACAGATTTAATCAAATACCAGGATTATATTTGAATGTATCCTGTAGATGAGGCTCTTAAATGTTCATTTGAGACACAACAATGAGTTTTAATGTGGATTTCTGTGTTTATTCTCCTCATCTTTAACTCTCAGATAAAAGAAGATTCCAGCAAACCAGTGCGGACCAGACGGAAGGGGAAGATCACAAAAGTTGTGGTGAGGAAGAACAGCAGCTGCATTTCCTTCACCATAAAGGTGAAATTTGATATTTAAAAAATAAACATGACGGTTTAAAAAGCTTTTCTTGGTGTGAGAATTTTTTAACTTTTTTTTTTTTGTTTTACTTGTCTGGACAAAATTATTCACGACTGATTTTAGTTGATTTTCTAATTTAATGGAAACGCCACAAATGTGAGTTTTTCAACGTTGGCGGAATATTGCCAAAGTTTTGTCCATATTTGTAATGGAAACGCTGCTGCTGATGGAAGTGGACATTTTAGCTACTGGTATGTTTTCTGAAACGGTTTGTTGGAGTAAATTTTTGCCAATAATTAAAATTTATTTTAATCTCAGAAATTTTCTAGAAAAAACTTGGAAAGCTGAAAAAATTAAAATTTTTCGACTTTTGAAACTCTAATTTCCAGACTAATTCTAGAAAACTTCTTAGAATTTCTTTTTAAGCATTTTCTATTTACAATTCCACATTGTCCTTTTACTTTTATTTTTTTATTAGAAATGTTCTCAAAAACTTGGAAATCAGTTTAGAGTCGTCATGACCCAATCGGTCTAACCTGTTAAATTTCAGACCGTTTTCTTTAGACCCTCAGGAACATGGATGTGTCCTGAACGGGATTCTAACTTGGTTCTGTAAATGTACAGTTGAACTCGGTGTTTGGTAGCTTTGGTTTTGTCCTCCCGTCTCCCAGGACCTGAAGTCCCTGAAGCCGGGCTGCTGGCCTCGTCCGCCGGTGAATTACTGCGTCCTCGTCGCTCTGGCACTGAAGAGCAGCCAGACGGGGAGCCTCAAAGTCCAGCAGATCTACAACTTCACCAGGTCAGAACCAGAGCCAATGAATGCAGACACACTGGTTAAATGAGCCGTCTTCCACTGCCACACTTCATATTGACAAGGTTCTGCTCTTCTGTATAGTTTTTATCTTTTGGAGTAAAAAATGGACACCAGAATGGGGGGTTAAGCCATTTCTACTGATTTTTAAGAGAAACTACACTAATTGATCAGGCATCCGTCTGTCTAGAATCTTTGAAATGTGCTGGAAACAGTTTCCGGTTTGCATTGTGGTTCATCTTCGGTTCACCGTTCCCTCTGCTCTCCCAGAGAGCACTTCCCCTTCTTCCAGACGGCTCCGGACGGCTGGAAGAACACGATCCGCCACAACCTGTGCTTCAGCAGCAGCTTCCGTAAAACCTGCAACCAGCTCTGCAAAGAGGGGAAGAGGAAGTCGTGCTTCTGGCACCTGACGCTGGACGGCCACCGCCGGCTGCAGGACGAGCTCCACACGCTGACCGGAGAAACCCTGAAGATGCTGGAGCGGAGCATGTCCAACCCAGGTCAGGTCACGAGGTTCTGAAAAAAATCTCAATTAAAAAAAAAAAGATTTTAGTTCCTTTTTTTTTCTGGATTTCTAGCCAGCCTGGCAGAACTCATTTGTGAGATGAAGGTTAAAGTAACTGCTTTTCTTTTTGCATTTCAGATGTAATATGGAGTTTACTTGAAATGTAATTCCTGCAGGTTTCAATGCACTTAAAATGATGCATAATAAAATATGCATATCATTCAGTTGAATCGTCTTTATTTATACAACGGAAAGCTTTTTGCCTAGCTAGCTGTCATCCATCCATCGATGCTTCAATCAATCTCACTGCATTTTGTTGCCGTTTTAAAAAGATTTAAAGTTAAAACGATCTACAAATTTTAAGGTAAAATGATCCTAGACTTGCTGACATGTTTTTTGAGAAAGATGGGAGAAAATGCTTCATATCTGCTCCTTTGACAGTTGAGAAGCAACTTGTACGTTTGTCGTTTTATGCGATGAATTCCCCAAACTTAGCTTTGGAGTTCCTCTGGGATGTGTGCTCAGTCCTTCTGCATTTACCTGACAGCGGCGTAGTTCCACAGAAATCAGCAGGTTGGGATTACAGAGAAGTTCCAGAAAGTTTCTCCTTGAATCTTATTGTCACCAATCTGACGTCCGTCAGGAGGCTGAAGCAGGACGTCTTGGTGCGGCGGCGTGCGGGCTGTTTGAAGGGAATAAAACATTTCTGTGATGATGTGATCTAACTCTGCTTTTAATGTTTGATCTTTAATCATCTGGAGGAAATCTTTTCTCCTACGGGTCCCAAGGGTCCAGATGCTTGAAATCCTTAAATGCTTGAATTTCAAATGGAGGTTTTCAAGGTTTGGAAAGTGCTTGATATTCAACCAGCAAACTTTGTTATAAAATGTGATCCAACATTTGTTTAAAAGCCTAAGTTTGAGAAACATACTGTTGAAATTTGACAATTATTGAAAATGGGAGATGATTCTTTTTTTAGCATTCTGCAGTCGGGTGTATTGGTGTTGTCAGACATTTCGGTATAACATAAGTAATGACAGTAATGTATTGTGACTGGAAACTTTTTTTGGTTCAGTTGCATCATCTCCAAAGTGGTGCTGGAAAAGTTAAACGTTCCTTGGAAAGTGCTTAAATTTTACTGCTGCTGTCCCAAGTAACTAGAATGTTGTCTTTATTTCTTGAGTGACAGTAGAAATTTACACACTTTTCTGTGAATAAGGAAAACATTTGTCTTGTTGTGGAAATTTTCCTTTAACAAAGAGAAACCGTTTCAAGAACCAGAGAGAGAATATATTAATCGGTATTTATTCAAAGTCTCTGATCGAAGTCAGGAGAGAGCCTGGAGCAGAACGGTTTGATGAGCCACTTGGTCACACAGCAGCAGGTCGTCTTTCACTATAAAGAAATGATTCAATGACTTCTGGTAATTCTAAGGCCAGAGAAACTAAAGTCCTGAAGTCTTTTTCATGAGCTCATTCATCACACAAGAATCATAAAACTGTTATGCATTGATTCAGCTAATGGTCATAGTAACCTTAAACTTTCCCACTAAAGTCTATAACTTCAATTTAAGTTGTCTAAATCTAAACAAATGTTTAGACTGTCACTAATTTGTTGTGTATAAATGGACTGCAGTCTATTTTATCACACTTTCATTTTTAAATGTGAACTTTACAAATAAAAATCCCATATTTACAATTTTCTTTTGTATTAAAGGTCAGACTTTATAAGCCAGAAACGCTGAATTTGTCCCATTTTGATCAAAGTTAACCTCGTTATGTTATTTGTCTCCTTTGGCTTCATTTGCCTGCGCCTCCAAAGCTTCAGGGCTGACTGGGTTTTGTTTAGGTCTGCAGGTAAATCTGTCCTTCATTTGCCAGAAGTCAAATGTTTTCTAGGCCGGCGGGATTAAGATGGGCGTGATGGCTGCTTTTAAACCTCTATGATGAGCGTTATAAATAAAACATGAGATGGGAAGAAGCTGCTAGGTCCTCAGCTGGAGGAATCTGCAGGTAATGCCACCATTTAAACAGTTTTATTTTAATCTGATGGGATTCAAGCTTCAAAAACACAAAATGTTACCAAGTGTTTTTGGTCTAGTTTCTAGTGCAAATATAGTAGAAACCTTGAAATAAGAGAATTAGTTTTTCAACAATATGTAGGAACTTTTTAAGTAAATAATTCCTTATTGTTGATGGAAACGGTTCTAGTTCTACTGGTGGATGGTTTCACTTATAACAAGACATTCTCCATGTTGTACGTTAATTTATTTGCCAAAAAAACTAGAATGTTTTCATCAATATTGAGGAATTTTTTACTTTTATGTCTTAAGTCTGTCTTAAGACATTTGCACTAAAAACTAGACAAATAATTGGCAATGTTTTGTTTTTGCAGTGCAGATCTTTAAGAAATTCATTTGGTTCATGTCTGATCAGAAACTTGCCTCTGAATTAATTCCTGCTTTATTCAAAGCACTTTTCTGAAAACAGTTTGAAGATGAAGAGCAGCCTCTGCGGACCTTTGATTCTCCTCCTCATCCTCAGCAGCAGCGGTGTTGGAGCCGGCCTGGGATCTGTGGTGGACGTTTCTTACAAACACACTAAATCCCCTTTAACCTGGGAGATGGCCCAAAACTACTGCAGGCGGTAAGATTCCTGATGCATTTACTCAGTGTAAGCGAGGAGTAGCTAAACTATCAGAGAAGCTAAAGGTGCATATATTCTCATTTGCTTAGTTGTGACTTAAGAGTCAAGATTATAAATATTCAGTTTTTCTAGACTTCAGAGCAGCAGGTAACACGATGAACTCAAAGATCTAATGGATCACAGAGCTGCTTGCAGTGGTTGTTGGCAGAAATCAATCTTTTAGCCTTTATCAATCAAGTTTATTTGTACAGCACATTTCAGCAACAAGGCAGTTCAAAGTGTTTTAAATCATAAATTCGTAACATCACCAAATGAGAAACCAGAAAGGTGTTACATTTTGAGTCCCATCAATACACATTATAAATGTTGATCAATGTATCATTTATTGATCAAAAACAACTCTTAAGTCTTGATTTAAAGGAACTCAGTGTTTCAGCTGTTTTGCAGTTTTCTGGAAGTTTGCTACATAGAAGCTGAATGTTGTCTTGATTCAGAAGAACCTGGTTCTGTGCTTGGTCCAGCTCTATTCCTCCTTTCACAATCCTGTAGGATGATGTCATCAGGAAGTATGGAGTTCATTTTCAGTTAATTGAATCAGAATCATTTAATGACATTTACTCTGGTCGGCCTAAAAACCTCGGTTCTTTGGAAGGGACCGGCGTCTGGTCACTGTATTAAAGTGCACAGACAGCTCTCCGATGGCAGGAAGAGAAATGCAGCGCAAGGCATTCTGGGTAAATGCAATCAAAACAAATGAGTCTAGCACTAATGGGAGAAATTACTTGATCTCTTACCAAAGACGAAAGAGAAATCCTCCAACTAAAATCTGACGCCTCTCAGTTTGTGAGGAAGAGAGTTGCGCTCGGTGTCTTCTGAGGTTTTTTTTCTTCAGTGGTTCTTAGTGCAGCGCCCCAACGGGTGGAACAAGTTTTACAACTAGTTTGGATCGTTTGACACAGTGCAGTGTGAAAAAGATCCACAGCAGCTGAAAATGGAACAAATGCTACAATTTTGTTCCAAACTGAACTGAGTCCATCAGACTATCAAGGGTGAAAACATTATAACTCAGTCCTCCTGAAATCTGCAGTGAATTTCCTTCATCGCTGCAATGGTTGCCTGTAAAATTTGGAATGTGAAACAAATAAAATAACATGCTGATTGAATAAAGGTCTATATGTCCTACTGACTGCCTATGAGAACATTGCACTAAAGCTGCAGGTTTACTCATCATTTCCATTATTGAAGGTGTTTTTGCTCTGGATTTAGCTTCCTCTTATGCAACACTGATGCACTACATTCTGACCTCTTTAAAAAAGCTTTTGCTTTGTATCATCTATTCTTTAACTGTGTTGTATTCTCTATCTACCACAATTATTCAAAGAAATATAACTACATCATTTCACTGTTTCATGCACTCATACATTTTAAAAGCTAACAGCATGCACATAATGTCTCTTTTCAAACCCATTACTTTTTTGTCCTTGCAGTATTTTCACCGACCTGGCCACCTTCTATTCACCATCGGATGTAAACTCTGTGTACCTTAATCGGTATCGCTCCTGGATCGGTCTGCATAAAGAGACTTCGTCATCCAGTAGCAAGTGGGTCTGGTCTGACCGTCAAACTCACCATGTCAACTGGCAGGACAACGTTGAAAACGTCAAGGGAGACTGTGCTTCTGTCACACACCCAGACAAAAAGTAAGACTGACTCAGAGATTTAAGTCAGCATTGTCAGGTAAAATTAAAGCCTTCTGTGTGGAGACTTGAATACCTCCGTCATTTATTTTGGTAAATGTTTCACCAGTTTCCATCCCCTTCATTGAATGGTAGATCATCTGTTCATCACAGCTCCTGTTGTCTTTCATTTGACACAGAGTGTTAATTGTGTTAAGTTGTATTGTTTTGAAAACACCTTTTTGTAATAAGTCATTTTAAATTTCCACCTTCCTTTCTCTGGACACATTTTGTTGCCACCCCTGATCCCTTAGACTTTGGCGTTGTAACAATATCAAACATGACTTAAAATTTTACAATTTTACACCTTGAAATTTTGCGTCTGTCTCTTTAAGAAGCTCCAGCTCTTTCTGACACTCCACTTTTAACTCATCATCTCAACAGTGCTCCTTTATTATGCAGTTTACAACTGTCCTAATGTAAGCAGTTCCTCCAGGTGGAAATGGTGTCACTTTGTGGGAGTCAATCAAGTTTACCTTGAATCATGGTACAAGGTGCTCTTATTAAAAAACATAAAATTACAACTAATTTTCTGTCACCAAAGATTAAAAGATTCCTGAAACATGAAAGAATGAAAGCCCTCCAAATGTATTTTTAAAGAGGGACGAACATGGCAACATGACTCCCAGAATCTTCTGTTAATCCTGTTTTCTTAAACATTGATGGTTCAGTAAATGTTTGTTCTCAACAGGATCTACGTCAGACTGTGGAGACAGTCTGTTCTTCACCTGTCAGTCTGGTGCGAGTTACATCTTTGTACTCGAGGCAAAGACTTGGTCAGAAGCGTCGGCGTACTGCAGGTCATACCATCAGGACCTGGTCAGTCTTTCTGGCGACATTTTCGCCATCTTCTTGGAGCGGGACATTCCCACCTGGATCGGACTGCACAAAGACGGTAAACCATCACTGCTGAAACCAGAGTCATGGTTTCAACAAACATGAAGGTGTTGAACTGATTCACTTGTAAATATTTACAGGTCCAACCCAAGCTTTGGCTTCTCCCTCAAACTTTTAGATTTTTCATTAGGATTTTATGGTTGACCATTCCAAAGAAATACTTAATTTTTAACCAGTTATAATAACACTTTGCTGTGATGATAATCATATCAAGCTGAGAAGGATTGGAAACTAATTTATCACCCCGCCCTCTGCCCCTCAGGGAGTCGTGTTTAAGTAAATCAGGAAACCTGCTTGTTTAAACCTGATTTGCAATTCATGTTTGCCCCAAACAAAAAGTCAACATGAATATCAGAGTGAGACTTCCTGGTTAAAGGCTCCTTTTCATTTGAATATGTTGCAGGAATAGATTCTTCTGAATTGTTGTTTTAAATGAGTCTTGCTGTTTCTCAGCCATGGCTGTTCATATTTTAACGGTGGGAAAAGAATGACTGAGCTGATCTCATAATTTCATCAAACTTCCCACCTTTGACACCTTTAATGTTCTTGGAAATGCATGTTTAAATTTTGTTGCTTCGTTGTTGTTTTTTTGTTTTTTAAAAAGATCAAACATTTCTTAAATGTGTGGCATGCATGTTTTTATTGAGCCCAATTTCAAACATTTAGAGACCAATTCTGGTTTAGGTTGCAGAGTTGGTGCCGATAAATTTCCCACCTTTTTCACAGGAGCATCGTGGAAATGGAGCTGGGGAGACTCTAACTATACAAACTGGTCAGGAGAGCCGAGTGTCGGCGGCGGCAACTGCAGCTCGATCTCCTCATTGACGAAGCAGATGGCTCCCCTAAGCTGTGATACTCGTCTCCCCTCCGTCTGCATCTCAGACAATCTGGTCCTGGTGAAGGAGAATGGGAGCTGGCAGGAGGCGCTGGAGCGCTGCAGAGGTCTCCAGTCCTCTAACAGCAACCTGCGCTACGATCTGCTCAGCCTGCAGCCTGCAGACAACCAGGACTTCATCAGGACCAAGATCATGCAGGCCGACACCGAGGAGGTGGGATGCAAATATGAATTTACAAGACAAAATATCCTTATCAGTTATTTGCTTTAATGTCAAGCAAACGAGGACAAGAGGTGTTCAAAAATTAGGAAGAACTTGATTTTAACACATTTTAAAGCATCAAACTTGATGCAAAATAAGTCAAATAATAAATAACGTAGATTTGGGCCCAACTGTTGGCAGAAAAACTGTAAAGGTAAAAAAGACTCAAAGATTTAGTAAAAATACAAGAGTTCTTCTTTTAGTCACATAAAATAATGGAAGAATATTAAATCCCTTGGCGTTATATGGATGCTTGTATAGAAAAGGCACATTTATAAATGATCATTTTACAGCATAGTTCAGAAACTGATTAAAGGTTAAAATGGATCAGCAGCTCAGGTTTACCAGCTGGGAGGCAAATTTAGGATGAGAAACATTTTTTGAAAATGCATAACTTTTACTTGTCCAGAAGTTTTCACAGATCTTGTTCAAGCCTCAATTTCTTATTCCCTCATTAATACAGATTTAAAGTATTAGTTCTCAAACTGCAGGCTTTACATCCAGCAAAATGTTCAGTTTGCAACTCGTTTCAGGTTTAATACTTGAACTTGACTCTACAGATTTGTAAAAGTAATCCATTGTTCCTGCAGGTTTGGACCGGCCTGCGTTTCCTGGCTGGTGATTGGCTGTGGGTGAACGGAGCAGACATGTTGTACACCGACCTGCCCTCCTGCCCCACCCCGGGGCAACACTGTGGGATCCTGTCCAAAAGCAGCAGCAACAGCAGCATGGAGATCAGGGATTGTTCAGAGGGAAAAAACTTCCTGTGTTACAGTTACACACCTGAATAAAGGTCTTTAGACTCTTAGAAAAATCTGTTTCCTCTGATGGAAACAGATTTTTCAGATGTATTAAAGTTTAGCAAATACCACTGATTATCTGTTACATTTAGTTTAATAGGTGTAAATATTTAATCAATTATTAATCTTATTTGGCCAGGTTTTACCATTCCCTGTATTTCATAACTATAATTCGCCACATTTCTGGGTTTAATTTCAAAAGCCACACTCGGGTCTGATTTAAAGTCAGACATTGTCAAATGAAACCATCCTGACAACATGAAGTAGGCTGAAGGATCTGAAAAGCATCGATTCAAGTCATCAGTCTGGAAATGGTTTCCGCCGTTTCTAAGACTGAAGAAAATAAAACGGTGGAGAAGTTACTGCAACGTCGACTCATCTGGAGGCCACAGCGATTCGGAGCAGCTTCTAAAGATTTCTTTGGCTTCAGGACGTTCATGATTCAGCACTGAGAGAGAGAGAGACTGGGCTGGGTTAAAAGTTAAAGTCCACTGCTAAGATTTTATCTTTAAAATCTGAAGTTGGGGTTGTTACTTTGTTGCTTGAACCATTTGATCCACAATTTTAATTTACTTAAGGTGCCAACTTGCTTATTTTAGAAAAAAAGACTTTTTGAATTATATATGGTTACCAAGGTTATGCTGATTCAAATTACTAAAACTTTTGTAACTATTATTGCAAATATTTGTGAATTTCTTCTATATTGTCCAAGCAGACGCATCAAACATTTGGCTGAATATTGTATCAGAATTTTCAGAAAATGTCTGAAGTCATTTGAGAGCCACAAAAAATATTTGTACACATGTTTGAGATTGTTTTGTAGAAATTGCAATAAAACTAAAGCATTTTTTTTTTCTTGTGCGTTTACAGCAGCATGTAGTTTGAATCATTGTTACAAAAAGTCCATGAAGCTGCAATCTGGAAATCCACCACCAGATGTCACAACACCAACCAAATCTTTAAATATTTGTGTTTGTGGACATATCAAATATGAGCCTGATTTAGCGCCATTAGAAATGTCACCCCAGGACTCAAAGCAACAATATTGTTCCAATAAAACTGACTTAAAACATGGTGGAGATTAAACGAAGGAACTTGGATGTAGCAAAAACCTGCTAACTTGACAACAGATCGTAACTTTATCGCCTTTAATCTATATAAAAAATATATTGAGGAAAATCAAGAAGCGGTGTTGAGGGACTGGAGATTCAGTCAAAATTAGTTTATCAAGTTTTAGCATCTTAACATCAGAATCGCTCCCAAAAGTTGTCGACCTTAAACTAGATTTGTTTCTGTTGCATAATTAATTATTGAACTGACTGTAGCGTTGCATTTAGACAAGTAGTTTTCTTTTAACCGTTTCCTTACCTTTCAATCTATGGCTGAAGGTATGTTCTCTTGTCTCTCCCATTTTGTGGAGTGGCTAGGAAAAGTTAGCCGATGTTTCCTATTAGGAAGACGGGAAGTTTCAGTTAAGTAAAAGTCACATTACTATTATCTTTATTTTACAGGAATTGTTAGGGTTGCACATTATTGTGATTCTCATGGTTTAAAATGGTAGATTAATTGTTCAAATTGTCAAATTATGTAGCAGCAATAAATGGGGAATTAACTTTAAAAAATTTTATTCCAAAAACTTAGAATAAAACAAATTACATCAAACATTCAAAATTGTTACAATAATATTCCATCAATTATTAATGCTCTTTAGCTATTTAAAACTCTTAAAAGGCAATTAATATGAGTTAATGTTTTTTCTTTAATTCTTCCTTCATTTCTCTGCATATGTTTTATTTACCTAGAAAAATAATTTCACTTCCCTGTTGATCCGGTTCTTTGTTGATTTGCCAGCAGTCAAATATATCTGAGACAGTGACACCAGACTGATGTTTGCTAAGCAAATGAGTTTAAAACATGGAAGCTGAAATAACAGGACCTGCAGTCGAGGCCTGGAGGCTCATAAAGCAGCAGCACTTTCCTGAGACGACGAAGCATCGCTTAGTCAGGTAATCACACCAATAACACCGGAGATACTGGAATTGTTTTATTTGATTATTCATACTCTTTACAGCAAGGTAATGTGTGTTAAATAAAAACTTTAGTTTGAATTAATGTTGCATTAATAAAGCCTTTTCTTTTTAGAAACTGAATGCTGAAGATGAAGAACCTTTCTGGATCCTGGATCTTCCTCCTCCTCAGCACAGGCTTTGCATTTTCCCTGGAATCGGTACTGGAGAGAAGTTACAGGTACAACATCTATCCAGCCAGCTGGGCGGACGCACAGAACATCTGCAGACGGTGAGATTTCTGTATATTACTTTTAATTATTAAAACTAATCAATGTTGAATTCCAGGTGTGAATGAAAAGTTGTTTTTGTCGGAAAAACAAACAGGCACCAAGAACCAGATTTGTCAGAACTATTGCTTTACGCATCATCGATCTTGAAGATCGATTGTGAAAATCTTACACGTTTGGAAGAGGAGGAAATAATGCTGGAAAATCTAATTTTATTTTCCGTGTTATCAGTAAAAAGGTTGGAAAGTGTTGGTGAGACGTTCTCCCGCTCGAACCTGAAGAGCCCTTAAAAGTCCATCAAATCCCTGAAGGACCCGGGTTTGGGTCAGGGTTTGGGTCAGGGCCTGGCGCCGGCCCAAAACCCTGACTACATACTCACAGGGACCCCAGTCCAAGAAAGATTCAGGAAATATTATGAAACGACTGGAGAGTTGGATCGGACTCTCCATTCCAGTCCTGGTTTGAATCTTACATGAAGAACAAGGATTTCCATGTTTAAAATGATTAATTTTCATCAAAGTGTCACATGTGGGGAACCCCAAGGCTCA